TAGCATGCTCGCCTGGCATGCGTGCGGCCCGGGTTCGATCCTCAGCACCACATACAAACAAAGATGTTGTGTCCGCCGAAAACTAAAAAATAAATCTTAAAAATTTTTTAAAAAGTCACAATGAATTTCCTTCTATCATGAGTAAGGTATTTTCCACAATCTACATGTAAAACCACTTTTATTTTAAAATGTTTAAGATGTAGTATCACTAATGCATATCTAATCAAAGTTTTCTGTACACTTTCTCTCTTCTATCCCAAGGTACTTTTCCATCATATAAAACATATGACCCTTCAGACTCACATAGTTAGGAATACCATTCATAGTCCATTCTCAGAAAAAATAAATAAATAAAATATATATGGTGTTAAGTACAAATCATTTTCATAATGAGCCTTCATATCATGTATCTTAGGCATATATAGACTATTTCCATAGGTCTCTAAAGTTAAAAAGAGTTGTTAGCCAGGTATGTTGGTGATGCCTGTAATTCCAGCAATTCAGGAGACTGAGGCAGGAGAATCACAAGTTCAAGGCCAGCCTCAGCAATTTAGCAAGACCCTGTCTCAAAATAAAAATGGGCTAGGAATGTAGCTCAGTGGAAAAGTGCCCCTAGGTTCAATCCCCAGTACCCACAAAGAAGTTAAAAGTATTATTTACAAAAAGAATAGGTAGAAGTTGAAAAGGAGAGATACACATATTATGAAGTAGAGTTTGTTCGTTCTTTCCTTCCTTCCTTTCTTTCCCTTCCTTCCTTTCTTCCTTCCTTCCTTCCTTTCTTTCCCTCCTTTCCTTCCTCCCTCCCTCCCTCCCTCCCTTCCTTCGATTGAATTCAGGGGCACTCGACCACTGAACCACAGCCCAGCCCTATTTTGTATTTTATTTAGAGATGGGTTCTCAATGAGTTGCTTGGCATTCCACTTTTGCTGAAGCTAGCTTTGAACTCATGGTTTTTCTGTCTCAGCCTCCCGAGCCATTGGGATTACAAGCATTCACCACCATGCCCGCCTATGAACTAGAGTGTTATAACAAGGAATAATTGCTCCAAAATGAGAGAAGAACTTGTTCCAGTAGAACTGAGATTATTTTGTGAGGGGGTGAGATGCTTTTACATACAATCATGATCTGAGCACTTTCTTCTGATCTATTTTGTGTACAGTTACTCACCAGTACTCTGGATCAATAATGGTGGTAGAGAACAATTGTTATAATTGTTCTTTAACAACTAGTAATAAAGATAAAGCTGTATTTAATTTTTTTGTAGTTGTAAATGGACAGAATGCCTTTATTTTATTTATTTTATGTGGTGCTAAAAATCAAACCCAGTGCCTTACACACGCTAGACAAGTACTCTATCATTGAGCCCCAGGCCCAGCTCCCCATCTATCATTTTTTTTAAAGATATCTTTTTTAATGTTTTTTTAGTTGTCAGTGGTCTTTATTTATATGTGGTGCTGAGAATCAAACACAGTGCCTCACACATTCTAGGCAAGTGCTCTACCACTGACCCACAACCTTGGCCCCCATTTATCATTTTTATGGCATTTCTTCTTTTTATATTTTGTTTGGTTCAGGCCTCATAAGTGCTAAGCATATGCTCCTTCTCTGACCTCTCCCCATCCCCCAGCTCTTATTAATATTATTTTATTTTATTTTTTGGTACCAGGTATTGAACTCGGGCACTCAGCCTCTGAGCCACATCCCCAGCCCTTTTTTTGCATTTTATTTAGAGACAGGATCTCTCTGAGTTGCTTAGCACCTTGCTTTTTGTTGAGGCTGACTTTGGACTTGTGATCCTCCTGCTTCAGCCTTCCAAGCTGCTGGGATTACAGGCATGTGCCACCATGCCTGGCCTATTAATTTTATTTTTTGAATTTTTTTTTTTTTCTCATTCTAAGCTGAGTCGAACATCATTTGGTATGACTGGATGAAGCCTTCTCATGCACAGCTTCACTCTGACTACATGCAGAGTGTGACTGAGGCCAAAGCCAGGAGCAAGAACAAGGTTCGGGGAGTTCAGCATCTGGTACAGCGCCTCCGGCTAATCAAATCTTCTGCAGAAATTGAGAGAATGCAGATTGCTGGGAAGCTGACATCACAGGTATGGTTCCTATTGAAAAGGTTTTTTTGGTAGCAGGGTTTGAACCTAGGGGCACCCTATCACTAAGCTACACCCCCAAGACCTTTATAATTTTATAGAGTTTTGGTAAGTTGCCAAGGCTGCTCTTCAGCTTCTAATCCCTCTGCCTCAGCCTCCAGAGTAGCTGGGATTTCAGGTGTTCTTCACTGGGCCCAACTTGAAAAAGTTCTTTCCGAGTTACAAAAATCACAAATTCTTAGGGTTCATTAGGCACCTTCAGGTTATATACTTAACATTATAGGCAGATGAACATCTAGCTTTGACTTCAGTATGTTTAGTGAACATATCTAGAGACCTGCTCAATACCTTGCAGCAAATCTGCCTTTTTTTTTTTTTTTCTCCTCTTTGTGGTTCTGGGGATTGAGCCCAGGGCCACCGAAATGCTGTAATGCTAAGCTATATCCCCAACCCTTTTTATTTTTCATCTTGAAACAGTGTCTTGTTTATGTTGCTCAGACTAGCCTCAAACTTGCAATCCTTCTACCTCAATCACTGGGATTGCAGGTGTGTGCCATTATACCCAGCCATAAATCTGCCTTCTTTTTAATGGAAATAAGCATGCCATAGTTGAAGAGGAATCTTTTACTCATCAATGTTAGTTGCTCTTCCTCCTATTGCCAGGGTGGTTTGGGCATGGTATCTTAGTGTATGTTTTAATTGTAAGGCACATTTTGTTAGCACTCTGCTTGCCACTATTGTCCTTACTCTTGGAATCAGATGCATTTAAGGCACTTTGTTTATGTTAGAAGATCTTTTTCATCTGGGTGACTTTCCTTATTAAAAGAAAATCTAAGGGCTGGGAATATAGCTCAGTGGTAGAGCACTTGCCTATCATGTGTGAGGCACTGGGTTCAATTCTCAGCACCGCATATAAATAAATGAAAATAAAGATCCATCAGTAACAACTAAAAAATTTTTTTAAAAAAATTTATCTGAGCTGGGCATGGTGTCACACACCTGTAATCTCAGTGGCTCTGGAGACTAAGATAGGAGGATCACAAATTCAAAGGCAGCCTCAGCAAAAGTGAGGTGCTACGAACTCATTGAGAACCCTATCTCTACATAAAATACAAAATAGGGATGTAGCTCAGTAACAGAGCACCCTTGGGTTCAATCCCCCAGTACCTGCCCCCCCCCAAAAAAAAAAAAAAACGAAGAAGAAGAAAATATATCCAAAGTGAGTGTAGTGGCTGTAGTCCTAGCTACTGGGGAGGCTGAGGCAAGAGGATTATTTGAGACGAGGAGATCAAGACCAGCTTGGCAACATAATAATAACCATTTCTAAAAAGAAACCAAAAACTCCCAAATCTACCTAGCCAATTATTGCTAGCCCAGTTCCTAATTCCACTAAATCTTTCTTACTTTGAATAAGGCAATACCAGACATGTTGTTGCTGTTAGGAGTCCCCTAGGCGTGGGTCATATGAATGATAATCACACATAGATAGATTGATTTAAATGTACCATAGCACTTTCCATGATCATACACCTTGAAATTTGAAATGTCAGAAACATCAAGTTGGGGCTGGAGATGTGGCTCAAGCGGTAGCACACTCGCCTGGCGTGCGTGCGGCCCAGGTTCGATCCTCAGCACCACATACAAATAAAGATGTTGTGTCCACCGAAAACTAAAAAATAAAATAATTTTAAAAATTCTCTCTCTCTCTCTCTCTCTCTCTCTCTCTCTCTCTCTTGAAAAAAAGAAAAAAAAGAAAGAAACATCAACTTATATCTAGTTCTTGTCAGTAAGCCAAGTGACCCGATTGTCCCGCCACCCATGATAACAAAGCAGATAGCTAATTTTTACTCATATTATGACAAATGGGACAGGGTAGTTGATAACTTTCTACCATCACATTTTGGTATGTTTTAAAAACCTTTATCATCACAATTAATGGCTATTCAATGTTCATTTACATTGTTTACATTTACAGTGTTTTAGTCTTACAGGTCCTTCCCAACATGAGTCCTTACTAATAGATGCATTCTGTAAAACAGCATCAAAAGACAAAGCCTAGCCAAGCATGATGGTGCATGCCTGTAATCTCAGCAACTTGGGAAGGCTGAGGCAAGAGGATTGTAAGTTCAAATCCAGCCTCAGCAGCTCAATTAGAGCTCAATGTCTCTAATAAAATATATAAAAAAAAGGGGGGGGGGCTGGGGATATGTCTCAATTTTTAAGTGCCCCTAGGTTCAATCCCTGGTACCAAAAAAAAACAAAACAAAAGACAAAGCCTCATTTTTATTGTTCCATATGCTTATAGAAAATACTTCTATCTCTTCAGCTATTTTAAAGAATATGACACTCTTAGAAGTGCTTTTGTTAGGCTGGCTGTTGTCCACATCTTCCTTTGAGCTTTCTGAAGAGAAGAGCTTTTATAAGAGACCTTTACTCTAAGGAGCATCTGAGTCAAAACCAAGAGAAAATATTACTTTCATGAATTTACCATCTCTTGCACCGGAAACATCTCTTGAGCTTTTGAAACACACCTTGACTTTCTCCCTTCCCTGCAGTAACAATCTCACCTTTCTTCCATTTATTATTAATTTTTCATTTATTTTTGTTTTCCATATTTTAAATGAACAACAAGATTTGTGTATATTGTCAACCTCAATAACAGAGATTCTCTGAAGATTAATGATATCTATTTGAGAACAGTAGTTCATTGCTTTGGGAATGTGCATGCCATAGTTGAACTATAAGTGTATTCAAAGAGGCTGAGGCAAGGGGAAGTTTTTAAAGGAAAAAATGCATAAGATTACATGATTGTGATTCTGGCAGTCTTTTGTGATAATTATCCAGTTTTATTTATCTGTTACAACTGATACAAGCAACTCCATTTTCTGACAGGTTTCATAGTATGAATAATGAAATGATTACTACAGTAGTCAAATTTATCATTAATTTTAACCCACACTCTTCCCACTGAAATACACTTTCTAGTTCAACTGCTGAGCTGAGCTGTCCATTCTTATGAGAAGAGCATAGATTGGTTAACTACAGGAAAATGGGACTATGCTGTTGGCAACCAGAGCAATATTAGTAATTTGAGCTTCATTGTGCCCCAGTGGTATATGTTATTATTCAGCACATTACTGCCACGACCTTTCTTTCAGTCATTTCATATCACTAGCTTTCCTGGGCCAGGCCCTCGGATGATTTAGAGTAGCAGTTAGTGTCCCAGACTGCAGGAACCTGATAAAAGGAGTCTGGGATTAGGGGTCAGTTTACATATCAAGTATGTGCTCTAGGCAAGGTTATTTTTTTCTCTGTAGGAAATGTCTAACTCTGGGAAGAGCAGTCTGTCCAGGTCAGTAAGACCCAGATAACAGAGAAATAAGAATAGCAAAAAAGTTAGGTGTGGTGGCCCACTCCTGTAATCCTAGCAGCTTTGGTAGGCCATGTCGGGAGAATTAGCAAATTCAACACCAGCCTCAGCAATTTAGTGAGGCCCTAAACAGCTAAGTGAGATCCTGTCTCAAAAAAGTAAAAAGGGCTGGAGAGTAAAATAAAATAAGAAAATGTAGTTAATATGCCATTCATATTAGGTTTAGATTCTCTGTCTTACCTAGACCTATTATGGTAAGACAGGTCTATGGTAAACTGTCCTGTGACAATAAACAGGAGACAGAGATTTTTGTTGTTGCTGGGGGATTGAACCCAGGTCCTTGTGGATGCTCAGCATATGCTCTATCTCTCAGCTATATCTTCAGCCCCTCAATTGGGCTATTTGCTTAAGTTATATATCCTTCACTGAATAACAACCCCTTGCTCAAAGGGTTTTTCATCCTCTAATTTTAGTGTGCCACTTGAATTATTTTAGTTGTTAGTGTCATAAGATTAACTGACTCATCAAAAATGATTTCTTTTGGTTAGATCGCCATCTGTTGACCAAACAGAGAATGCGTAAAGGATCATCCAGAGCTTCCGTTTAGCCATAGCTTACAGCAGTAACCACACCACTGAATATTTTAGCAGATCTTCCATCAGTTTCCTTTTCCCCTCCAAATCCTCTTTTCTAAAGTCTTAAGTTTCAGGGCTGGGGATGTGGCTCAAGTGGTAGCGCGCTCGCCTGGCATGCGTGCGGCCCGAGTTCGATCCTCAGCACCACATACAAACAAAGATGTTGTGTCCGCTGAGAACTAAAAAATAAATATTAAAATTCTCAAAAAAAAAAATAAAGTCTTAAGTTTCAAAACATGTGCTACTTCAAACCAAGAATGGCCTGGCTAATTCTTTTTTTTATCATCTCTAATTTTTTTTTTCAAAATAACACTTTAGCCATATTTATTTAGCCATATGTGCTGGGACAACTGGATATCCACATGCAAAAGAATAAAATTTTTTTGCTGGGGGGTACTGGGAAACTCAGGGGCACTCACCACTGAGCCACATCCCCAACCCTATTTGATATTTTTTTATTTAGAAGACAGGATCTTACTGATTTGCTAAGCGCCTCCCAGTTTCTGAGGCTGGCTCAGAATTCATGATCCTCCTGCCTCAGCCTCCCAGGCCACTGGGATTACAGGCATGTGCCACCAAAAAGAATAAGATTTTTATCTCTACCTCTCATCATATATGAAAATTAACTCAAAATTGGTTAGTTACCTAAACTTAAGAGACAAAACTATAAAACTTGTTGAAGAAAACATAGAGTAAGAAGCTGGGGTTGTGGCTCAGCGATAGAGCACTCGCCTAGCACATGCTAGGCCCTGGATTCGATCCTCAGCACCACATAAAAAAAATAATAAGTAAAATAAAGGTATGTGTTCAACTACAACTAAAAAAAAAACAATATTTAAAAAAAAAACATAGAGTAAGTCTTCATGACTTTTTGGTTGCCAGTAGATTCTTAGATTTACTTCCAAAAGCAAAGACCACAAAGAAGAAATGGACTTCACCAAAATATGAAATTTTTTACATGAAAAGGCAATATCAAGAAAGTGAAAAAAACTACAGAA